TTAAAGGTAATATTTGAAGGACTAATTGTCCTGCTGTAGGTGCATGTTCATTTCGCTTTTTTATATGATAAAAATAATATTTAAAAACATGTCCATACAAATGATAAAAGTATTAGAATTACAACCGCTAATTTTTTTAAATTTTCATATCACCATATTTTTATTGAAAACGTATTCTTTTCTCTCGCTTCGTCCGCCATTACTAGCTTAAACAAATCTCCGGTCGGGCCACAATGCATTATGGGATATGCTGGGCCGGGAAGGATCCATCAGACCTGTCCTTCAAATCGGGGAAAAGGAAGGACGTATTTGTCGGCCGCATCGGAGGAGTCTTTGGTTTTGGACGGCGTTCGTCGCGGGGCTGTGACGTATGCGGCCGACAAATTCGGCCTTCGGAGGACCCGGCCTGCCGTTTTGGACACAGCCAAAGGCATATGTTCTGTATATAAAGAAAACCATCACTTCCTTGTCATTACTCTTCTTCAGTGATAGAGCTTGGTAATGTTTCAAACTGTTAAACACTGCCACCAACTGTTCAGGAGGATTATTACACCCCTAAATGTTGTTTCACTGCGGACGGGGAGTGTACAGCAGGGTGGCCAATGGGGTGGTCAAAGATTTGTCTGTGGTGGCCCTGGCCACCCCCTGGCTCAGCCCCTGTCAAGGGGTAGGTGAGAGAGGCATCCATTACAATCACCGGTCAACCTGGATTGGCGTAATGAAGTAAGTGCTTCTGTGAAATATGAAAAGTCTGTATCTCATGGTAGGATATTAACCAAAACTGTTCACAACACCGAGCTTTTTCTGTTTCCCTGCAGAGAGTGGGCAATCCGTCACAAGGTGAAGCTGATGGGGACCTGTGGAGGACCAGGCCATCTCTCAGGAGAGAGTCTGGAGGCTGTTTACCTTGCAGAGCTGCGCTGCCTCAGTCAGGAGGACATGCTGAAGGCAGAGTTTGAGGAAGCAACCAGGAGATCTCCACCACCCATTAAAGAGACAGGAAACAAGATCAGGTGCCCCGCAAACTGTTTGTGAGGTGAGTGGGTTATATAATTAAATAATATATTGTTTTATCATTTTTACACTCCGGTAGCACAATGGGGCAGTGGTTAGTATGGTCACCTCACAGAACCAAGGTCACAGGTTTGCTTTTAACCTGTCTTTCTGTGTGGAGTTTACATGTTCTCCAGATTTTCTATATACTCTGGTTTACTCCCACAGACCAAAAACATGCCTGTCAGGTGAAGGTTAGTGTGAATGTTTTTTTTTTTTTTTTGTCTTATTTGTCTCTGTGTATCCCTGTGATGGACTGGAGACCTGTTTTTTGTAAATCATTTGATACCAAATGGACAATTAATTTTGTTGTACTTGTTTATGAAAAAGATATTCTGATTCTAAAACATAGATGTAGATCGTTGTAGATACTGAGGTTTAATTTGGTGTGGTAGTAGCTGATATTCATCCCCAGCACATATTCTGAGCACTAACTAATTGAGTTAAGATCTGTTTTTAAAACAGCACACACACACACACACACACACACACACACACACACACACACACA